CAAGAACAAATTGCAAATGATGCCCCAATCCGCCGACACGCTAAAATCCATGCAAAACTTAGCGTCGAGCCACGTGAACAGAGCCAGGGCTCGCTCACGAATTTCCTTCTCGCGACGTTTGCCCGACGATATGTGAACCAGCAAAATCGAAACTGGCAACGACATCAACGCAATTTTACCGACTGGCTCCGCCGTGGAATCGAAGCGTTGCTCGGCGAACGATTAATTCCGCAGAACTGTTTCCGGCTTGCGAACAGCGCGCCATCTGCTGAAAAAACTGGCGACGGCCCTCATAACATGCGACTTCAGGGATTCATCTCACGCAGGAGGTGCAGCTTTTCTTCTGCCCCGCCCCGTTGGCGCGCAGAACGTGGCGAAGAAACTGCCGAGCTGCTTCGCGGCCATCATGGCGTGGCCCACCTCGAACTCGGCTGCGCGGCGCTTCGCGCAATCGAGGGTGCCGGGCACGCCAGAGCGGCAGTAGCCTGAAGCCCCGACGTCGCGAGCGCCGCCGCCGCCAGGGGCAGGCACATCAGCGCGATATCTGCGACATCTAACAACCTTGCTGTATTTCGACTCGCCCAGGGATAAGGACATCGACGTGGCGTTACGCGGCAACTCACGGGTTTCCACGCGCAGAACCTCGGCCATCACGCAGAGCTGCGCCTGCGTTTCCGCGTTCTCTCCTCCGCCGGATCGGCCGCGGAGAACTGCTTCCGCCGCGCGCGAGCGCACTTGCGCAGGGAAGGCGTCTCAGGGAGCAGCGCCCACGCATCCCTCCATTCCGCGGCCGACGGCGCGTCTCCCCGCAGAAGCGCAGCGTCTGCCGCCGCAACTTCTTCCATCTGTTCCAACGAGGAAACGCCTTCGCACGCCGATGGCAGTGGCTTAGGCGAGAATTATTCGCACAATCTCTTGACCTTCTTCACCCCTGCTGCGTGTCAATGCGCTGCTGACCTCCGATGCTGTTCCATTTGGAATCTCGCGTGGAAGCCCGCCGAACGGCGGGCCTGGAAAGCAGCAAATTTGGAGGAGCTTCCGTCGCAGCTCTTCCGCCCTGCGGCCGCAGCTTTTGCGCGCGCTCGGCGGCCCAATCCCCGCGGGCCGCGATGCGCACCTGCTGCCGGCAACGACGAACCATTCGGCAGGAGAGATAGCGCCGCGCGCGCCTTGCGACGTCTGTGGAAATCGCATCTTATGCAGAACGCCTTGTTGCAAGAAGAATGCTCGGCGAAGTGCCGCGCGTCGGAATCGGCCCCTGAGAACGGGCGCGGGCGGTCAACAGACTGAGGCCCAATCTTCGGCGGGGATCTGCCAGCAGGGCCCTTTTTCCGACTTCCTCTACTCGCCTCGGTCGCAGTCCGCGCGACGCCCTTGCGGGGCTGAGCCGCGCCGCGCTTCCCCCGCGTCGCCCCTTGCTTTCCACGATTCGCCAGAGGCAGAGCCACCCTCGCCAGAGGCAGAGATTTCTTCTTGGCGCAAGACGCCCCGCTGTGGGCTAGTCCGCCGCGTCTCCGCGACGGCCGCGACTGCCCCGCCGCCGCTGCCGACTTCATCTGGAGACACTCCCCAAATTGCAATTGCAGCGGCGCCCGCGTCGCCCAGCGCGGCGCCCCCGATCGCGGCGCGCCCCAGATGCTTGACGCTTGGCTTGTGCCAAAACGGCTATGAGGCAACAGCGAGCTCGATGCCGCTGGCGACGATGGCGACAAGGATGGCGCTGAGCACGCCGGCGAACGCGCGGCCTCGCCCTTGCCCATTGCAACCAAAAAGCAACTGCGCAAAACCATCCGGAAGAAGAGAAACAATCACGGGGAAAGCAAACAGGAACAAGACAATATTAAACATGACCAAAGGAAAACTAAACAAGACCACGCACAAAAAAAAAAAAACGCATGGCCAGGAAAACAAGAAACCATACCAACATACAATTAAACTGGCAAACTAAACAGGACGAAGACAAAACTAAACAGGGCCAAGAGAAAACCAAACACGACCATGAGAAAACGAAACAGGACCACGCGACAGCAAAACAGGGCTGAACGAAAACTAAACAAGACCATGAACAAACTAGACGGGACCACGGGGCAACTAAACCGGGCCAAGAGAAAACTAGACGAGACCACTGGGCAACTAAACATGGCCAGGAGAAAACTAAACAAGAAGAAAGGGGGAGAAGGAAAACAATAAGAAGGAGAGAACACAAAGGAAATGCAACTATACATATATATTAAAAAATTAACTAACAAGGGCCCGGAAACAACTCAACATGACAACAGGAAAACTAAACGGGACCAAGAAACAACTGCACATGAACAGGACAAAACTAAACAAGACCACAATAAAACAACACAAGACCATCCGGAAAACCAAAAACCCAGACAGCACCAGAGGAGAACTCGACAGGGCCACAAGAAAACTAGACAGGACTATGAGAAAGCTAAACAGGACCAAGACAAAGCTAAGCCGAACCAGGACAAAACTAAACAGGGCCACGGGGCAACTCAACAGGACCGACAGACAACCAAGCAGGGCCGCAGGAAAACTATAACAGAGCCCGGAGACAACTACACAGGACCAATACAAACTACACGCGACCAGGGAAAACCAAAACAGGACCCCACCCAAAAAAACCAAGCAGGGCCAGGGGATACTTGAACAAGACCACAGAAGAAGGAGAAGAAGGATAACGAAACAAAAAAAAAGACCAGGGCAACGCTGGACAGGACCGCAGGAGAACTGAACATGACCACCAAATAACGGCACATGAAGACAAGACAACGAAGCAGGTCACCTGGAAAACTAGACAGGGCCAAGAGAAAAATAAGCAGGACCCGGACAACAGAAAACGGGACTAGAGCAAAACTAAACAGGACCATCAAGGAACAACGAAGCAATACTACAAAAGAAAACTAGGCAGGACCACGGGACAACTAAGCAGGGCCATGAGAAAAAGTGAACAGGACCAAGAGAAAACTATACAGGACCAGGACACAACTTAACGGGGCCACGCGAAAACTAACCGAGACCAGGAGAGAACGTAACAGCGCCATGAGACAGCTAAACAAGACCAAGACAAAACTGAACAGGACCACCGGAAAACTAAACAAGACCCGGGGCAAACTAGACGAAACCCAGACAAAACGAAACAGGGCCACAGGACAACTAAACAGGACAAGGAGAAAAACAAATGAGGGCCAGGGGGGGAACTAAACAGGACCACGGGAAAACTAGACGGCACCCATGCAAAGCTGAACGTAACTAGAAGAACGCTAAACAAGACGAAGGGGGACCTAAACAGGACCACGGGACAACTAAACAAGACCATGACAAAACTAAGCAGGACCACAGGGCAACTAAACAAGACCAAGACAACTCTAAACAGGGCCACAAGAAAACTAAGCAGGAGCAGGACAAAACTAAAGAGGATCAAGAGAAAACTAAACAGGACCACAGGACAACGAAACGATACCAGGAGAAAACTTTACAAGGCCAAGGCAAAACTAAACAGGACCAGGAGAAAACCAAACACGACCAGGAGAAAAATCAACAAGACCACAGGACAACTAAACAGGACCAGGAGAAAATTAAACAATACCAAGGCAAAACTAAACAGGACCACCGGGCAACTAAACATGACCACCCCGCGAGAGAGAGAGAGAGAGGAAGAAGAAGAAGAGAAAGAGAGAGAGAGAGAGAGAGAGAGAGAGAGAGAGAGAGAGAGAAAGAAACAGAAAGAGAGAGAAAGAGAGAGAGAGAGAGAGAGACCAAGACAATAATAAACAAGACCGCAATACAAGTAAACCAGACCACGGGGAAACTGAACAGGACCAGGGCGAAGCAAAACAGGACCACAGGAAAACTAAGCATGACCATCCGGGAAACTAAGCAAGACCGAAAGAAAACTGAACCAGGCCACAGGGCAACTAAGCGGGGCCGCGAGAGAACTAAACAGGACCAGGACAAAACTGAACAGGACCACAAGAATACTAGACAGGACCAGGGGACAATTAAACAGGACCAGGAGAAACCTACACACGACCAAAAACCGAACTTGACCAGGAGAAAACTAAACAGGGAATGGAAAACACCAAACAAGGCCGCAGGACAACTAAACAGGACCATCCGAGAAACTAAGCAAGACCAAGCGAAAACTAAGCAGGACCACGCGAAAACTTGACAGGACCAAGAGCAAACTTGACAGGACCACGAGAAAATTAAACAAGACCAGGAGAAACCTAAAAAACGACCAAACGAAAACTAAACAGGACCAGGAGAAAACTAAACAGGACCAACAGAAAACTAAACAGGACCATGGGGCAATAAACAAGACCACCCGGACAAAAAAACTATTATATACATAAAAACGAAGCAAGACAAGGGGGCAAGTAAACAGGGCCACGGGAAAACTAACGAGGACAAGGAGGAAACTAAACAGGACCAGGACAAGACTAAAAAGGACCACAGGACAACTACACATGACCAAAAGAAAAACTAAGCAGGGCCAGGGAAAAACGAACAGGACCACTGGACAACTAAACAGGACCACAGGACAACTAAACAGGACCAGGAGAAAAAGTAACGAGAACCAAGAGAAAACTAAACGGGACCACCCGAAAAAAAACTTAGGAAGGCCAAAAGAAAACTACACAGGACCACCAATAATGCGGTGGCGCCGATGGCGATGATGACGACGAGATCGCGATCGCGACCTGCGGCGACGGCAGCAGCGGTGCTGGCGGCGCCCATGGCCAGCCGCGACTACGACAGCGAATATCTTTTTCGAACCGAGCGTCTCCGCAAATGCACATCGAGCGCGGCCAGAAAATCTGCGTCGGCAGACGCGCCGCTGCGCGTTAGTCTGAATCAAAACACTTTTGCAAGAACTCACCCCTCAGAGCCGACGCCACTGGGCCCCTCTCGGCAACGAATGCCTCGCGGCACGCGGCGCGCCAGAGACAGCGTCGTGGCGCGCCAGAGGCAGCGTGTCAAACAACCGCCTAGTTGTCGTCCAAGCTCGCGTCAACCTCATGCCCCTCCTCAACCTCGTTGCCATCCTCGGCCGCTGGCATCGGCAACCGGCGCGCCTCCGTCGTGGTTCCGCTGAAATACTTGCTGGTTTTCTCGACGAACTCCGCGTCGCCGCCCAATTGCTCCGCGTGCCCCTCCTCGTGGCCCGCCTTGTGCGTGACGCGCCTGTCCACGATGGAGTCGAGCCAGTCCCGATGCGCACCGTGGCAAGCGATGCCCCCGTGCTCCATTGCGCCAGAGGCAGCGACAGCCAAGGCGCCAGAGCCTGCAGTGAAGTCCACGATGTGGGTCACTTCGTGGTGCTCCATGATCGTCAACCAGAAGCTGAGGGGCTTCGCCTCGTTGTACGAGAACGGGTGGCCCTTCTCGTCGATGTCTCCCTGCAGGCGCGCTAGCTTGCCATCGAGCGCGGCGCAAGATGCAGCCCCCGGGATGCTCGTCTTGGTCTCGTGGGACATGCGGTGGGGCTCCGAGAAGCGCCGCACGTGGATGCCACTGTATGTCGCGGCTGCGCTCGAGGTCTCGCCGCGCGCGTTGAACTCCGAACGGTGCGCCGCTTTCCGCGGGCCCTTGAGTGGCGGCGAGAAATGCGCCCTGGCCGCGGCCCGTGGGCCCTCCTGCTTGGTCGGCTGCGCGCGCGCGAAACAGCGCTCAACGAACGCGCGGGGGCCGCCTGTCTGCAACTTCTCCTCCATGGACTCAATGGCGCGGCGGTTCGCCCGGCTCCTGCCGTCGAAGAGGATGATGAGATCATCCATCCCCCTCGTCTGCATGAAGAACTCGGCGACGCGCTTGCGCTTCGCTTCGTCACATTGCATCTGCTCGCTCACCCTCGTCTCGGCGCCTTGCTTGACGAGGTTGGGCGGGGGGGGCTGCGCTGAGAGGATGAACGCGCGGACGTCGCCTTTCTTCCTCCCGAAGCGGCGCCCAAGGCTGAGCGCCCCCCACGCGCTCTGCATCTGCTGCGCTGCGTACTCCGCGCCAAAGGCAGCGCCGACAGCCGGCAAAGATACGAGCATGACAGTTTGCCTGCGGAGCTGCCTGAGCTGCTCCTGGAGCTCCTGAAGCTCTTTTTTCTGCTCCTCCCCGAGCTCGGAACTCCCCGACAGGCCGAGATTTTGATCAAGCTCGGGGGCGGTGGGGATCGGTCCACTGGTGCACGCGGCCACGAAGGCGCGGTAATCGGCGCCCACCTGCTGGCTGGTCTCGTCGAGGTACGTGTGCCAGAAGAACCCAGGCGTGCTGTCCCGCATCTCCTGCAAGGCTAGGTCGGCAATTTCGTCGTCGAAAGCGCCAGGCCACGCAGGCCACGCGACGTAGATCATCGCCTTCGCCTTGGCATCCACCCCGCTAAGATACTCAGCCACTTTGAGCGCAAACAGCGCGTCCATCCCGTCAGCGCCGCCGCCTGACTCGAACGCCCGGTGCGAAGCCACGAGCCCATCCGCAACAGAGGGAGTGAACTTCTGGACGATGCTGAGAGGCGTCTAAAATACGGCCATGCCATTCTGCATATCCTTGTCAATGAGAGACACCTCGTGGAATATGTACTCGACGAGCTCCTTTTTCTTGAGGAACGCGCGGGGCATCGCTGGCGTCTTTTTCTCGCGCCCGACGACTCGGCCAACGGACAGTCTCTCGCCCATCGGAACATCGCCCGCGAGGCGGGCCATGCGGAAGCTGTTCATGATGAAAACGAAATACCCCCTAGCCATGGCGCCAGAGACACCCCTCGCGGAGCAGCCGGAACCGATCCTCATGAGAAGCGCGGGTTCGCGAAGCTCTGGGCAATGCGCCGCGGCCAGTGCAAAAGCCGAACCGCAGGCGCCGTCGAGGACGAAAGGCTGCAGACCTCTCAGCGCCGCGACGGTTGCAGCGGTGCACGGTTTTCCTTTGAAGGCGAGGCCGTTGGTCTTGATCGCAGACTCCAGCTTCGACGCCGGTTCCTCTGGCGAACGCGTTCGCCACGTTGGTCAAGCGGCGCGCTTTTTCTGCGAACCGCCAGAAGGAATCAGCGCCAGAGGCAGCACACGTAGAGAACATCTTCTCTGAAAAGGTCAGGGTCGCCAAGTGGGTCGCGTCCCCGTCGGGTAGCAAACGCATCCTGATGGGCACGGACAACGCGGCGTTGAAAAGATGCCCCACGCGGTCGTCGTTGGACTGCTGGAGCGCCTCGCTCATAGCAGCGCGCCACGTGATCACCACCGCGAGCCCTGCGAGCATGGTCAGAGCCTCGGCGAAGCAAACTCCAGGCTTGCCAGGCCACGCGCTGGGCGACCTTAGCGTCGACCACCAAGACGGGGAGAGGCACGTCGAAGGAGAGGCGCCGCGAGGGCGCGTGACTGGAGGAGAGGCGGCGCGTCTCCTCCGACCACATACCCATGGCACCCTCGAGCTGGCCTATGAAGACGTCGTCGATGTCCGAGCAAATCGGGTCCAACATCCACACCGCCCCCCGCTGCCTCGCACTACTTGGTCCGGGAGAAGCTCGCAACCAGGTTGTCGCAGTCCATCCCCTCGCGAAACGCAGCGATGTTTGCGCAAGGGGCAGCTTCAGTGATGACCAACGGTGGAATCATAGAACACTCGGCGGGTGCGCGAGGGACAACTCCCGCTTGCGCTGCTCCAAGAAACCGAGCAAACCGTGGTCGACGTAGTTCTTCACTTGGCGCACCAACTCCGTGACATGACCCTGTTGCATCGACGCGTTCTCCGTCTCGAGGAGTTGCGTGATGCGCAGCGGGGCAGGCGGCGCGACAGAGGCAGCGGCGGGCGCAGGGGCTGGTGAGGCCGCCTTCTTCGCAGGCGACGGGGTTTGCGCCGCCTCGGCTGCTCTCTTGCCCATGGCGGCTGCTTGTGGTCCGGGGAGGGCGCGACAAGCCAACTGGTCGCGTCCGAGAGCCGAAACCTGTGAGGATGATGATGATGATGATGGCGACGATGATCATGATGATGGTAATCACGATGATGACAGCTGCTGGTGGCGTGATGACGGCGATGATGAAAGTGGCGCTGGCGACGACGATGAAGGTGACGATGTTAGCGATGTTGCAAATCCTTAATATGATGCTCCCCCGTGGTGACCCAGTCAGACAACTGAGGCTCTACAGCGTCCGAAAGCCTGGAAGACCACGCCCTCCGACCACGCCATCCTCTACCTCAGCCCCGACGGTGCCCGCCTCCAAAAACGTGACAGAGTCATTCGGGCGCGCGACCTCCGCTCGCTTCCCTCAGAAGCCAGGATGGAACTCAGACAGGTATTCTCCTACCTCGAAGGTGTGCTCAACATCCCGGACGCCGACCTCACCGGGCTGCTGCAACTAAGCGACTGGGTTAGGCCAGCGGCCCCCGGTAACCTCCCCGGCCGACACTTCGACAACGACGACGGGAACGTCGAGGTCAACCGCGAGCCCCCACTGCCCCAGGCCGCCGGCACGGACGACATTACGATTCCACTCCTACCCGCCCTGCTGATACTGAGACGACACGCGCTGTCTGCAGCCATCCAGGACTGGTGGAAGAAGTGGCGACGCAGCAAAAACACCCGCTCACCAGGTACCCTTCTGGCCGCAGCCTCCCGCGCGGAGCGCAACGCCAGACCAGCGGGCCCCCCTCGCTGCATGGCTCACCGAGTACGGGTGGAGCGGTGGCGATCTCGCACCACAGCAAGCCGCAGGCTGGCTATGCAAGTAGGACAGCGACGCAGCCCAGAGACGGGCCTCAAGGCTGACCCCGGCCCGAAGGGGCCCATCTGCGGACCGCCCCACCCTGGCCGCACACTGCAGAACAGGACGTAAAATATACGTCAAGACGCACTCTATCCTCGGTGTACGAGACGAACAAGGGGCCTGGCGCGACAAGCCAGACCGCGTCGATGAAGTTCTCTGGGGTAGTCGCGCTCACATCTGGCAGACCTCCCCCCCTTGCCTCCCTCGGGGGCCCGCATCCTGCGCTGCTACTTCCTTGGGAAGGAACTTGGGGGCCGCGCCGCCCACCCCCAGCCCCCGTCGGGCCCGTGGGGGAAGATCGAGCCCAGCGGCAGCGCGCCAGGCGTGGGCGGGGAACCTTGCGAGGTTTACCACCCCGGCGCCCACTTCGTCGCCTGCCTAATTACTCGGACAAGTCTGGTACGCGGCGGGCATCAACCCGCACCTCATCGACGCTGTCATCGGCAGGTCCGTCGATCTTCTGGCATGGATTGGGAAGAAGGCAACGGCTGAGAAGCCCAACGACATGCGCCCGCTGCAACTGCCGACACGCATGCGCAGACTGCACGGAGCCACCATCGCCGACTACCTCGGCCCCACCGTCGAGCCGGGACTCAGCCAACACCAAGCCGCCAGAAAGGGAGGTCAATGTGGCCCCAACATCGCCGCCGTGTCCAGATACCTGAGCCATGGCACCTCCGCTGACCCTGGTCCTGGCCGCTGCTGGCGCGAGCTTCTGGGAAGCCACCGCGATGCAGTCCAGCGCTACCTTCTAGCCGCCGAGACGCGCCTGGGCGCCGCCCCGAGCCCCGCTGTCATCTTCTGTGACCAGAACAAGGCCTTCGAGAGAATCTCTCTCATGTGGGTTGGTAACCGGCTGCAGAAGTGGCAGTTCCCTCCCTGGCTCCTACACGCCCTGGACGCTCTCCCACGCGAGCGGCACGCCCAAACCTGCAAGGGCAAGTACAGGAGCAAAGTAAGGCGCCTGCTCTGTTCGATCGGCATGGGCAGCACGGACCCCCCGCTGCCCCGGCGCATGGGCTACGACCCGCCGATAGAGGCCGTCGCCAACATTGCCGGAGGCGCCAGCGCCACATACGTCGACGACCTTGCGGCCCTACTCTCGTCCACGGGGCAGGCGTCACGCGTGGCCATCGCCCTCCCCTGGCTCGTCAAGGTGGCTGGCCTCCAAGGCGAAACCCACAGATGCAGAGGTGTCCACATGCCCTTCGGCAGCCGCGTCACTCTCGCCCTGGCTGAAAGGGCCGTCGCCCTAGAAAGTCGGGACAACGACATCTACATCACGGGCCTGCCCCCTGCCCTCATCCAGGTCCTCGTTCTCGACTCGCTCGGCCCAGCCTAAGCAGCTGCATGTGCCCATGGCACGCCCACTGCCCCTGCAGCTTCAAAACCGCCCTGGTGCCCGCGAGCAACCGCGAGTGGTGGGGGTCGCTTATGGACTTCACCCCTTCGCGCCTCGTCAGCGACGGCCCAGTGGCCGCGCCTCAGCGCCAGCGTGGCCCCCAGAGCTGCCGAAATGGAACCCCCCCCTCCAGGGGGCTGTTCTCCCGATGGCAGCGCGAAGCACTCGCGTTCGGCACCTGGGGCAAGCCGCTTCCCAAGATGCGCGACCGTGCCGGAGCCCTGCGCATTGCAGGCATGTCCCCCTCGCGCACCGCCCCCGCCTGGAACTCATGCCTCATCTCGCTGGTCCCCTACCACGCACACTACATGGCACCAGACGTGCTGCGCGAGCGCGCCCTCTGGGCACAGCTGCGAGTGGCCCTCGGGCTCGCGGGCGCTTCCTGGATCCCTGACCACGTCCTCACAAGCCTCGGCATCCTGTCGCACGTAACTGGTTGCCCGAAGTGCGCCGTGGCCACCGCCCGGGCCATCGCAGCCAGAGCGCATGCCCTAGGGAATGCATGGGGCCCCCCGCCGGCTCACAAGCGCGCCAAGACCAGATGGAACAAACTCTGCAACTGGGCCACAAGTGGCGCCCGACGGCAGGGGCCAACCAGACCAGGCTCCAAGGTGCTCGCAGATACCAGGGCCGCCGAATTCCTGACCCGCGCGCTGCGGGAACCGCGCAGGGTCCGTAACCGCTACTTCGGCAGGGTGGTCTACATCGTCTCCTGGGCCCAGCTCCATGGGCATGCCACGCAGAACTGGTTCCGAGTGACCAGCCAGTCCAGACGCTGGGCACAGACAGACGGGGCGGAATGGTCTCATCCAGCACTGCGCCTCCTTCACGGAGGCGCATCACGTCCTTCGCATCCTCGCCAACGGGCCACCCGGCTCGGCCAGAAGGCGCGGGGATGCCGATCGCCTCCCACACCAATGCAGGTGCGGAAGGCCTGCACGCCGAGTCTGGCTCACCGCCGGGCACAACGACCCTGGCCGTGCGCGGTGCAACGTGTGCCTTGGGGCCTGGGCCGGCCAAACCGACCTCTGGCCTCTCCTGGGCACTGAGTTACTTCCCAACGAGCTGCGCGTCGAAACCACCGAGCGGGGGACCGTCCTCGGACACGTCGACGTGCCGAGCCGCTGCGGCATGCACGGGGTGCGCCCGCAATGCGGTCTGGGGGAAACCACCACCGAGCACGCATGGTGTTGGTGCCCCGCCCTCGCCCTCACTTGGGCGCAGGCCAGAGCCCCAGACCACGCTCGCTCCCTGAGCAGAGCCATCTGCACCCACGGGACGCACCAAAGTCTCGTCTGTCGCCTCATCCATCAGGCTTCCTTTCGCTACTGCGTGAACCTGGACTGCACCCCGCTCACTGCCCAAGAGGCAGCTAGGCTCATATTGCAAAGGGTCGTGGCGCCCGACTGTGACCAGCAAAGTGACAGCGACGACGACTGGCACGAGGGTCAGACCCCCCCCCCCATGAACCAGCAGAGACGTCGGTATGGGCCCCCATGCCCACGGCCTGTGACACATGTATATAACCCACAGGGTGGGACTGGCCCAGTGCATCAACGGCGCCGCCAGGCCACATGGACAGACAAACCGTCCGCGCCGGTGGGGAGGTCAGACGCCTCCCCGTCGCGAGTGCTCCAGGCCGGCTCGCAGTGCTCCAGGCGTCGGACACGAGGGCAGCCTGGACGATCCCAGGCCGAGGGTGGTTCCTCTGCCCCCGCACAAACTCATGCCCGTCTGCTTTCTGGATCAGGAGATACTGCCGCGCCTGCGACACCCGCGCCGTCACCCTGTGGGCCAGCCA